AGTTTTATGTTAATAATTTCCTTATGTAATATATACATACCACCTATTTATGTCTGGACATGATATTACTTAGTTTTGCTTTTTCTGGAATTTTACATACCTGGAATAATACTCTTGTTCTTTCACTGCACATGTTTTGAGAATCATCTATATTTCTGTGTAGCTGTGGCTCAATCATATTCACTGATACTCAGTATTTCATTGCAGAAGTATACCACAACTTAAGAATCTATTCTTTTGTTGTGGGCTTTTAGGGTATTTCCAGTTTGGGGTTATTACAAAACATGTCCACATGCCTCTTAGTTTCCTGTGAAGAGACCTAGAAATAGATACATTTTCACAATGAGTCATAATATATATACATTTTTCAGCCTTAAGAAGTAATGCTAAGTCTTGACTAGGTAGCTCAGTTGGTTAGAGAGTCATCCTGATATGCCTAAATTGTGGGTTTGATCCCTAGTCAGGGTACATACAAGAAGCAACTAATGGCCTGGCTGGTTTGGCTCAGCGGTTAGAGTATTGGCCCGTGGACCGGAGAGTCCCGGGTTTGGTTCCCACTAAGGGCATGTACCTCGGTTGCAGTTTGTCCCCGGCCCTGGTTGGGGTCATGTGGGAGGCAACCACTTCGTGTCTCTCTCTCTCACATCAATATTTCTCTCTCTCTCCCTCTGTCCCTCCTGCTCTATCTAAAGATACATGCAAAAAAAAAAATGTCCTCAGGTGAGAAAAAAAAAAAAGCAACTAATGAATGCATACATAAGTGGAACAACAAATTGATCTCTCTCTCTAACATCAATAAATAATGAAAGAAGGAATGCCAAACTGTTTTCTCTAATACATGTAATAGTTTATATACCCAACAGCAATAGATGAGAGTTCCCACCATTCTATGTGTTTTGTGGTTCTGACAGGTTTTTAAAGATGTGATCATCTGTAAGGTATGAAACAGTATCTAATTGTGGCTTAATTTGCATTTCTATTATTACTAATATAATTGAGCAGCCTTTCATTGTCATGGGCTAAGCTTTCTATCTTGTTTTTTTCCTAGTCTTAATGTAGTTGAATTTATCAGTCTTTTCTTTTCTAGATAGTGCTTTTTGAGTCTTGTTTCAGATTGCTAACAATTTATCAGAAATTTGTTTTCTTCCTGGGCACACAGCTAGATCACTTTTCACAGCTTGTATTGTTGTTCAGCGTGTCTAGGTGACTGAGTCCTAACCAATGGAGTATGAGTAGAGATGATGAGTGCCACTTCTTGGCTAGGTCCATGAAAGTTCTCTCACACCTCCATGCTCTTTTCTCCCTTCTGGTTGACTAGGTTAGAAAACCAGGTCATCTTGGAAGCCATGGATTGAAGATAGCAGAGCTGCCATCAGACTGATGGCTTGGAGGAAGGCCACCCTGCCAGTTATGTATATGTGTCTTAGCTGTTACAGGATTGAGAAATGAACAAGTAAACCTTTCAGAGCTGTTACCATTAAGCTAACTTAATACATGTCTAAAATATTTTTCACTAATCTGAGATAAAAAAAATTACCTTCTATATTTTTTCCAAAAGACTTAAAGTGGCTCTGGCCAGTTTGGCTCAGCGATTAGAGTGTCGGCCCACAGACCAATGAGACCTTGGTTCGATTCTGGCCAAGGGCATGTAACTCGGTTGCAGTTCATCCCACGATTGTGGTTCGTCCACCGTCCTGGATGGGGTTGTGTGGGAGGCAGCCAGTCAATGTATCTCTTTTCACGTTGATGTTTCTCTCTCCCTCCCTCCCTCCTACTCTATCTGAAGATAAATGGAAAAATATCCTTGGGTGAGGATTGAAAAAAAAAAAAAGACTTGAAGTGTTTCAGTAAAAAACTGAATGAATTATTGAACAAATAATTAAGCTTGGTCTTTCAGCAGTTTCCATCTGTTATGGGTTTAGTTGTGTATCCACCACCAAAAATGTATGTTTAAGTCCTATATTCCAGTACCTCAACAGAATGTGACTGTATTTGGATATAGGGCCTTTAAGGAGGCGAGTAAGTGAAAATAAAGTCATTAGGGTGGGCTGCCATCTAATATGACTGGTGCCCTTATAAATGAGAAAATGTGGATACAGATCTATGCAAAAGGAAGACCATGTGGAGACGCAGGGAGAAGACAGCCATGTACAAACCAAGGAAAGAGGCCTCAGAACCAACCCTGCCAACATCCTGATCTTGGAGTTTCAGCCTCCAAAACTATGAGAAAATAAATTTGTTATTTATCAACCCAGTCTGTGGTATTTTTTTTTTTATGGCATCAGAGCAGACTAAGATACTCACCCTTTATACTCTAAGGATCCAAGATGGCATATACACATTAATTTACTGTATATAGTAGTTTGCATGGTAAACAATAAACAAAACCTATGGATAGTGTTAGTAAAGAAAACGTTTTGGGGTAGGATAACTGAGAAGTGAAAATTTAAAATTGTTTTATAGGAGTGGAGTTTTTCCTTTATTTATGATTTAGGGGCTGAGGAAAGGGAGCTGGGATTTAAAGCAGAGGAAGCATCTTGACCAAAGGTATAAATGTGGAAAATTCATGTAGTATATAAGTAACAGTAAGGGTCTGTAGAAGGTAGATGAAAAGAATGGAGATAAACTAAAACTGGAGAGAGGACAGTCCATTCTAAGTTTGCAGAGTTACAACAGTAAAAAGAACACTAGGATCAGAACCTGTATCAGGTTATATACAGGGTGGGGCAAATGTAGCTTTACAGTTGTTCATATGGAAAATAATACAATAATGCATAATACAAGAATAAACTCTGCGTTCTACATACAACTGTAAACCTATGTTTGCCCCACCCTGTGTATGACTCTATCACTTACTATCTGACCTTGGGCAAATAACCTTGATAAGCTTGGAGAAAACACCAATGTGATACAACTCATTGTATCAAATTTTACCGTAACCTCAACCTCAGCCCAGTTTTTTATTTTTAATTTATTAATTTTTTGTTACAGATGTTTCTCATTTTTCCCCCATTAATACCCTCCTCCCCTTCTCCCCACCCCATATCCAGTCAGCCCAATTTCTTAATACTAAATATCATTCAACAAAAAGTTAAATACTCCACATGACACTGCAAAAGTCTGAATGCATCTAGGCCAGCCCTCTCTCAGTCCGTCCTGTTGGTTACAAGGAGGGTCAAAGGAAAAAGCACACACTACTATTCTACCACATTCTACATAAAGGAGGTGAGTTCAGAAACACAATTAGTTTAGTTTCAGTTTTTGTACATTTAGGAAAAAAATTAACATGAGGTAAGGTGACAAGGTTAGAGTAGAACTCTCGTAATAAAATGTAATTGATATTTGCATCAGGGGAAATTGGGAAGGTGTATTAAAAGTCAAAAATAGCTCACACACTGATCAAAAAATTCCACCTTGGAACCTAGCCTTGATTCTAAAGAACAATCCAAATTATGCTAAAATTACATTGATATTCACTACAGCCTTGCATGCAACAATAAAAAATGAGAAATGCCTGAAATTTCCAATAAAAGAAAAATGGCTCAATTGTTACATTCACTTGATGGAATACGGTGCAGCCATTGTATGAAGGTTATGAAATATAAAAACATTTTTTTTCTCATCCAAGGATATTTTTCCATTGCATTTTAGATAGAGTGGAAGGGAAAGAGGGAGAGAGAGAAACATCAATGTTGATGTGAGACAAATCGACTGGTTGCTTCCTGCACAACCCCAACCAGCGCTGGGAATCGAACCTGCAACTCAGGTATGTGCCCTTGACCGAGAATCAAACCTGAGACCCTTTGGTCCTCGGGCGGATGCTCTAACTGTTGAGCCAATCCAGCCAAGGCATATAAAGACTTACTTTTATTATATAAAAAATATGCAGAAAAAAATCAGAAATACAGCTGACCCTTCCTTGAATACAGGTTTAAACTGCAAAGGTCCACTTATATGTAGATATTTGGTTTTTTTATCCTCACCCGAGGACATTTTTCCATTTTTTGTTTAGAGTGGGAGGGAGAGAGAGGGAGAGATAGAAATATTGATATGAGAAGAGAAACATCAATCGGCTGCCTCCTGCACACCCCCAACTGGGGATGGAGCCTGCAACTCAGGCATGTGCCCTGACTGGGAATCAGACGGGGACCTCTCAGTCCATGGGACGACAGTCCAGTGAGCCACACTGGCTGGGCTCTAAACCAAGGTTTTAGTTGTACCTACAGTTTAATACAATATGGGAAGAATAGGAAAGAAAGAGGAACTTTGCAAAATTAAAATTTTTTTTTATCCTCACCAGAGGACATTTTTTTTTTTTTTGCACTTATCTTGAGATAGAGCAGGAGGGAGAGAGGGAGAAAAAGAGAAATATCGACATGAGAGAGACACATTGAGTGGTCACCACCCACACGACCCCAACAGGGCCGAGGACAAACTGCAACCGAGGTATGTGCCCTTAGCGGGAACCAAACCTGGGACTGTCCAGTCCCTGGGCCAACGCTCTAACCACTGAGCCAAACTGGCCAGGGTCAAAATTAAATATTTTAAAAGTCAAAAATATAGAGTGGCTCTTGTATGCACTAAACTGTATGCATGAAGTGTTTTCGATGATAAAGTATTTGAAATCCTCTCTACCATCTAAGTAGAAAGACAATTCTGTTACTAAAATGATATCTTAGGGAAGTATTTGGAATGTGCAAAATTTGGTCCAAAAGCAGCAGAGGGAGGAACAGTGAGGAGACAAAGATAGAACTGTTGCCTTCTCAGCAGTCTCCTCCACAGAACCATCTGGTGGAGGGGCTCCGAACTTACACGTTTCTCCTTCATAGCAATACTCTATGAACATATGTCTTAACCCTCAAGTCAGACGGAATCTATCTTGGGTGTGATGCCCAAGGAAATATGATCCACAACTGACAAAAACACTCCAAAAGCCAGAGAATGTAGTTTCAGGGCAATGAAAAAAAGAAAAGAAATAAAACAGCTCATGCAGAAGCACGTCAAAATGATGGGACTTTATTTCTATGGATTCTTTGGTGTCGGATAAGGTGTGGACTCTGTCTAAAGCTTTCCCCACATTCAAGACATTTATAAGGTTTTTCTCCAGTGTGAGTTCTCTGGTGTATAATGAGGGTTGCACTCTGACTGAAGCATTTCCCACAGACAGAACATCCATAAGGCTTCTCCCCAGTATGGATTCTCTGATGTTTAGAGAGGTCAGAACACCGTTTGAAGCTCTTCTCACATTCTTCACATGTATAGGGTCTCTCCCCTTTATGGAGTCTCTGATGTCTAAAACGGTTGGAAATACGGCAGGTCTCCCCACATTCGGTACATTTATAGTGTTTTTCTCCTATGTGGATCCGCTGATGTCGATTGAGATGTGAGCTCTGCCTGAAGCTATCCCCGCATTTGGGGCATGTGTATGGCTTTTCCCCTGTGTGTGTCCTCTGGTGTTTAATCAGCGCAGCACTCTGACTGAAGCTCTTCCCACATTCTTGGCATTCATAGGGTTTCTCCCCAGTGTGAATTCTCTGATGTTTCAAGAGGTCGGAGCGCTGTTTGAAACTCTTCTCACAGTTATCACATTTATAAGGTCTTTCTTCACGGAGCTGCCTCGGGGTCTCAGAAAAGCCTGAAGTATGGAAATTTCCAACATTGTCAATAGATTTGTGAGGTTTCATCACTTGAAGTTTCTCCTTATCTAAACTCTGTTTGCACTTGTTGCCACATTCGTCACCATTAACGGACCTCTCTGCTGTCAAGCCATGCTGACGAAGAACAAAGTCTGAACTTCTGGCACTATTCCCAATTTCATTATTTTTGGAGTCTCCCCCTTCTGTGAGACCATTCTTGCTATATGAGATGCTGGGAAGTCCTTGCTCTTCAGGAGAATTTTCAAGTTTCAGCAGTGAGGGGTTTCCTGAGTGCTTCTCTTCTACCATCATCTCTTCATGGTTCTGGCCACATCTGGACAACAGGGGAGCCTTCCCTAGGGAGCCTTCTTGTAGCTGTATCTGTGGCTCTACTTCTAGAATTTCTTGCTTTGGAATAAACTCTCTCCTCTCTGTTCTGGTTTCCAAACCTGAAACATTAAAGTACAAATTGCTGATATTTCATCCTGTGCAAGAGCGAAATAAACAAGTACTCATAGAAAAACAGCCCCCTCCCAATAACCTTTTTCATCTCCATGAAACCACTTCTGAAGTTAAATTGTTTTCGTTAACCTGTCAGGTGTGCTCACATTTTCATGTACAAACCTCGTTTCTTTGCTTTTATACTTGTGCCTGCACCCACCAACCCATTTCTTGTCCCCCTGCCCCATTCCACTGTTCTGAGTCACATTATGACAGGCAAATGTGTCAAGAGAGGTGGTACAAGTTTATCCTATGTCTGAAGGATGGTTTAATAAGATAAATTCTATTAAACTACTGGCTCCAAAGCTTATATTCTCCAGGAAGAAAAGGTAGAAGTTTTTACAGCAGGAATTTCTTAGGCTTATTCTCTATTGTATCTCCATCTAGAATAGCATCTGGCTTACTGCAGACACTCAATAAAATAGTTGTTGAGCCCTGGCTGGTTTTACTCAGCAGTGAGAGCCGGCTTGTGGTCCAGAGAGGCCTGGGTTTGGTTCCCACTAAGGGCATGCACCGCGGTTGTAGTTTGTCCCCGGCCCCAGTTGGGGTCGTGTGGGTAGCAGCCAGTCGATGTGTCTCTCTCACATCAATGTTTCTCTCTCTCTTCCTCCCTCTCCCTCCCACTCTATCTGAGGATAAATGAAAAAAAAAAAAAAAAGTTGTTGAATAATCTCACTATGTTAAAATTTACCAGCCCAGGCCAAAAGACCTACAGACACTGATATAAGGGAATTCTTAAGTATAAGGACAACTGATATCCAACCCTATACTGTAGACCACTACAGTTCACAAGTACTACACAAACAGATTCCAGTAAGAATCTCGCCCCCCCCCCCCCCCCACTACCACAAATTGTGCAGTCAAGTTTCCCACATTTGGGGAAATCGCAGGGGTGGGCACATCCAAAGTGCAATGGATAAGCCTTGCCCTGGGAAAACCACCTTTGTGATCATGGCATCTCCCCTGCCAGGTAAGTATCCAGTCAGAATTCTTGTTTGGCTATTAAATACAAACAGAAAGTGAAAGATTACTAACATTTCAAGTAAACATCTAACAGAAATGCTGATGACACATACAATGAATAAAATTAGAAAATTTAATGACCTGTAATTAATAAATGAGAAGATATTGCATCCAGGAAACAAGGAGGCTACAAGAAAAGGAATATTTAAAGAAAAAGCTATTGAAAATATTAATGAAGCAAAAATATTTCAGTTTAAGAGTTGGAAAATAGCCCTGGCTGGTTTGGCTCAGCGGTTAGAGCGTCCGCCTGCGGTCTGGAGAGGCCCGGGTTCGGTTCCCGCTAAGGGCATGTACCTCGGTTGCAGTTTGTCCCCGGCCCTGGTTGGTCGTGCAGGTGGCAGCCACTCGATGTGTCCCTTTCACATCGATGTTTCCCTCTCTCTCTCTTCCTCCCTCTCCCTCCCACTCTGTATAAAAAATGGAAAAATGTCCTCAGATGAGGATTAAAAAAAAATTTTAATAAGAGTTGGAAAATAAAGCTAAGCACTTCTCTAGAAAGCGAAACAAAAGATAATGAAATGGGAAGGGGATCAGGGGACCTCACAGAATCAGTCCATGAGTTCCAACATCCAACTGAAAAAAATCCCAGAAATACCACAGTAAAAATGAGATAAAAATAAGTAGATAAATAAAAGAATACTATAGAAAATTCCTCACAACTCAAAGATATGGGTTTCTATATTATAAGGGCTTACCAACTACTCAGAACAATGAATGAAAAAAAAATTACTTCACACTAAGCCATATCCATGGTGAAATTTCATAGTAGCAGGAATAAAGAAAAGCTTCACAGGCTTCTACACAAGACAGATTGTACACCAAGGATAAAATATCATAATGACATAAGATTTTCCAATAGCAACATGGCAAGCTAGCTAGAAAATCCATTGTCTTCAAAATTCAAACATATTATTTATTGCGCAGAATGCTACATATTCAGCCACACTATAATCCAAATATAAGAGAGAGCTAAAGATATTTTCTGACATTCACAAAGTTTCAAAAAATTTAGCTCTGGAATACACTAGGAGAGTTCTCCATCAAATCAAGGGTGTAAAACCAAGGAAGAAAATGATATGAGATTCGGGAAAGAAAAAAGGAATTCCCAGGGTGATAGTGACAGAGAGTTCTAGGACAACAACTGTGTAACATGTCTGGTGAAGAAGCCTATTCACACTGGAGCACAAGAAGCTTCAGGGGCATCTCTCCAAGAGGATATGAAAATGGCATATCTGATGTATGTGAACACACTGAGAGGAGTTTTACATTTCTAACGGAAAGCTTGTGGGTGAACTAGTGTTCAATAGTTAGAAGAGCAGGCATGTGCAAAATGAGGCATTTTTTAATTCCAGGGAAAACAATAAAAGCTATAAAAGTTATTCAACATGTGGGTGAATACAGATAGTATTTTTTTTAGATTAAATTGTTGTATTTACTGCCATTTAATTGTTCATATTTTTTATCTTTTTTTTCCCCTTCTTCTTCTTCTTTTGAAAGGAATACTTGGAGTACTGTGTTAAGACATCATGCCATGGCCCAGCCAATGTGGCTCAGCAGTTGAGCATCGACCCATGCACCCAGAGGTTGCCAGTTCAATTCCCAGTCAGGGCACATGCCCAGATTGTGGGCCTGATCCCCAGTGGGGGGCATGCAGGAGGCGGCCAATTGATGTTCTCTCTCATCGATGTTTCTATCTCTCTCTCCCCCTCCCTTGTCTCTCTAAAATAAATCAAGAAAAAAAAAAAAGACATCATGTCATCAGCTGAATACCAAATGCTGACAAGGATGTGGAGAAAGAAGAATTCTTGTATCCTTTTGGACAGCAAGATGAGCAAATATCCCTAAGTATATTCTGTCAGAAACTCTTACATATGACCATAGGGAGAAAGACAAGAATGTTCAGTACAATACTGTTTGTAATGTTGAAAAACTAGAAGCCTTAATGTCCATTGACGGAAAAGTGGATAAATGAATTTTGGAATATTCTATAATGAATATATAGATGTTAAAAAGAATAAACGAGAGCTACATGTAGCAACATGGAATAAACGAGAGCTACATGTAATGCTGGGAAAAAGGCAAGGTGCAAAAGAAGCATATAGTGGTATAATTTATATATCATAAAAACATGTAAAAATAGTATACATATATGTTTCTATGTTCACATTTATATATTTACATGTTTATATACATGTTTACACTCACACACATGAAGAGAGATTGTGTGTGTGTGTGCTACATAAAGATGTAGAAATATAAAACACACATGAAGCCCTGGCCGGTTTGGCTCAGCGGTTAGTCAGCCTGCGGTTCAGAGAGACCCAGGTTCGGTTCCCACTAAGGGAATGTGCCTCGGTTGCAGTTTGTCCCTGACCCTGGTTGGGTTGTGCGGGTGGCAGCCACTTGATGTGTCCTTTTCACGTCGATGTTTCTCTCTCCCTCTCTTCCTCTTTCTCCTTCCCACTCTATCTGAACAAAAAATGTCCTCAGGTGAGGATAAAAATAAATAAATAAATAAAAAATAAAACACACATGAAAATGATAAACACCACAAGATACTGGTTACCTCTGGTAAAGGAGTGAGGTGAACAGCTTTCAGAGAGGGTATACATATAGCTGTAACATTTTTATTTTAAAAAAATATGAAGCCAATATGGATGATATTAAAATCTGATAAACCTGGGTGGTTTATCCATTATATTTTTATACATTTCTGTATGTAATGCATTAAAAATGAACCAAAACAAGACGCTGAATCTATCATTTAACAGTACAGAACAGAAGGGTCACAAAAGAGACTCTAAAGTTCTCATCCTGTGTGTGAATGGCAGAGTAGCTCAGGGATCAGACTGAAGCAAGCCCTTCACAAATGACACAGCTAGAAACAGCAAAGTCATAGCACTTACTTGACAGGGCTGTGTTCCCATAATCCTTCAGCGTGCTCTCCCTGTAGAAGTCCCTCTGAACTGGGTCCAGATGCTCCCACTCCTCCCAGGTTATAGGCACATCCTTGACTTTCACCAATCCCTGAAACAAAAGGAGACGTCCCTTCAGCAGTTGCTATCCCAGGATAGCCTTACCACTAGTCTCAGGATGAGGCCAGACTCCAGAAAGGAGTTGGCCAGTATTGAGAAGGAAGCACTGAGAATGAAGTAACAAACACAGCTGTTGAGTCTTTGCCAGTGAATCTTGTACTGATGGAGGAGTTTCAAAATGACCAAAGATAGAGGCTGCGTTCTCTTGTAATCCCCCAAAACCATTCTGTGGACTGTCTACATTTGGGGTAGAAGCAAAATATTCATTTGAGTTACATCTCTATGATTTATCAAAATGAAAATCTGATATAGATTAAAAATGTACAGATAACCAGAGAGTCCTAAGTTCAAATGCTGGCTCTAAGACAGTTTCCTCATGTGTGAAATGGATACAAATATCTGTCTTAAGATGAAGGTATCTCATTAACAGCATGTACTCAGTAAAATTTCCTTTTCCTTCCTTGACCACTGCACAATAAGATTACCCAACAAGATGATATTTTGAGATGGCTTATCTAAATGTAAGCTGACTATTCACAGAAGGTGAAATCAGTTCTTAGAAAGGGAAGGTTCTAAAATTGGTGCAGGGAGATGGTTGTCTGGGTTCCAATGATGACTCACAAACTGACTCTAAGGATCTCTCACTCAGTGACAGGAAAGGGAAATGTATTTTTAAAAATTTTTTCAGTTATGTTTTGACATTTAAAAAAAAAAACTTTCTGGCTGGGGAGACTGTCCCTCCTGGCGCCAGCCAATTCTTAGAAAGCAAAGGGCTCAGCTGAGACTGATTGATCCAGAGTCATATCTTCTCTCTCTGGTCTGAACACCTCAGGAGGCAAGATTCCTCTGCCTTAACCATCCCAAGGCCAGGTATCAGGCAACTAGAAACGACTGCTATAATTTACAGCTGAGTGAAGTTATTTAAACTAACCAATCCTATTGTTCACCCTGCCATGCCCTTCCTTTCCCACTGAAACCCCAATTTAGGCTCTGGCCTAACTTTTCCTAGCTCCTGTCATCTGCCTCTGACCACCTGCTGTCTTTCCCATTAGGCTCTGTGTGGCATGCAGTGCCTCCTTTCTCTAGAACCTCAGTGTAGTACATTTCACACCCCACCCCCAGCCTCTCCTCTGACTCTGTGTAAAGGAAAACCACATTTCTGTACGTCTACTCTTAATACTCTGAATACTTCATTACAAACTAATTCACTTCTAACACCAAATGTGTGTTTCCACCCGTCAAGCAATTCTCCAACACCAGCTGTGTCTTACAGTTTAACTCAATTCTGTCACTACATACCTGGAGATGGGCCCAGATCCCACAGGTTAAGGGGTCAGTCCTACAAGACTGCCCCTCCCCAACTTCAGATGCTAACTGCAAGCCCACAACCTGTTTCTAACCAACCCGCTTTAGATCAGAGGTTCCCCTGACTCTGTCTTTGGGTTCAAAATTAATTTCCTAGAGCAGCTTCAGAACTCAGGAAAACAGCTTACTTACTGGATTAGCAAGCAGTTTATTATAAAAGGTTGTAACTCAGAAACAGCAAGATAGAAGAGATACATAGGGCAAGGTCTGGGAAGGTCACAAGCTCAGCAGATTCTGTCCCCATAGAGCTGGGGTGTGTTGCTCTCCCACTAAGTGGATGCACTTACCAACATGGAAGCTCCCGGAACTCCATACAATTGGGATTTAATGGAGGCTTCATCACATAGTTATGATCAATAATTAACTCCACTTCCAGCCTCTCTATACTCTTTAGAGTGCTATTATCAACTGTGGGAGGAGGGAGTCGCCAAACCATTAAAAAGTAAAAAGGAACCCTCACATTCAAAGTAGGGGAGAATTGCTGTTCTAGCATCTTAACATTAATCTTACCCCATTAATCTAGTTACACAAAAAGGTGTTTCACAATGGGCAAACAAACTCTCGTGTAGGTATCTAACTCAAGGATCATTTAAATCCTGAATGGATCTGTCACTCTTTCCTACGGAAAGGAACAAGTTTTATGCACATTCTAAAGTTCACACCAAATGTAATAAGGAAGAAAAAAACCTTCTGAAACTCACACACCTCCCCTACACCCTCCATTCCCCACATTCCCACCACCAGCGCACTCACTCCTCACCTGGAGCGAGGTCCCACCAAGCGCTCTCTGAAGAGCCCGCACTACAGCCGCAGCCTCGGCCCCACTCTCGGGGTAGTGTTTCCGCACCCGGTCCTGGAGGTCCGGGGGCAGGATGGTCAGGAACTGCTCCAACACCAGCAGCTCCAGGATCTGCTCCTTCGAGTGCGTCTCAGGCCTCAGCCACCGACGACAAAGTTCCCACAGCCGGCTCAGCGCCTCTTCGGGTCCGGCCACCTCATGATAACGGAACCGCCTAAAATGCTGTCGACAAGTTTCGGGATCCAGACAGTCCACAGGCGGGTCGGACTCCCGAACTCCCGGTGAGTCTTCCTCCACTTTCACTATCAAAAGTCCATCACGCAGGGGCGGCGCGGCGACCTTATCCCCTGCGGCCACCACCCAGGCCCCCGCCTCAGCATCACTGCCTTGACTTGCGATCAAGCTCGAACTCATCTTTCTCCAACACGTGCCGACTTTCCTGGAGTTTTGCCTTCAGGTAAGAAGGGAGCTAATCCTACAAAAAGCCACGGAACTCATTGCCTCTCCTTAAGCGCAGGCGTACGCCGCCCGGTCTCCTGCAGGAGTCCTCCTACCTGCAGCTGCGCCACCTAGGACCTGCCTCCTCCCCAGACAAAACACAACAAGAAACTTGTAAGCCTGGTCGGAAGTGCGTCACCGACTCCCTGAGGTACCCACCCTCCGGGCATTTCCGGGGCCTCTCTAGGCGCCCTGGAGGACTGTAAAGAATCTTGGTGGTTTGCCATCCTGTTCCTTCCAGGGATGCTCTTCGTGTGTACAGTACCTTGCTGTGTGGAGCTTACTGTCCTTCAGGTTACAGAACTAAACAATACTCTCCTTTTAAAACTTGAATATCATTCTTTAATATCTGTGAATAAAGTCTGTAAGTTTTGTTTTAAGAAAAGTTAAAGATCCGTCCTGGGGTTGGAGCGGCCTGCGGACCAGAGAGTCCCAGGTTCCGATCCCGCTAGGGACACGTACGAAAAAAAAGAAAGAAAAGTTAAAGATCCGACTGTACAAGGAGTTGCAAACAATCATTCACCTGTGTGGTATTCGTTTATACAAGAAAGGTTTGTAGAGTATCTTCTACATGCCAAGGCATCATGCTTGAGACCATAGATACAAAACTGTGACAATATAGTCCTCGTCCTCACTTTGCTCACAGTCCTGAGACATACACTATAATCCTTACAAGAGTGTATGGTATATATGGAGGGTATACAGTGTACATTTGTACAGCCAGAGGTGGATATAACAATCCATCATCCCTGGTAGGGGAGAGTACTGTGAAAGACTTCACAGGTTAGATGAAGGCTTAAAGAGTCCATGTGGACTAAAGACATATTTCAATTCAAATATGGTTTAAATTTATAGGCAATAAATCCATAGCAGATTGTATCATCCCCACCCCCCTACTTGTTACATTAGGCTCTCCCAAATCCCTTGCTGTCCTTCACACTCAGTATAATAATTGCCAAGGATTTTGTCCTAGTCTAAGCTCAACTCCTCTGTTTGATTTTTTTACTACCTCTCCCTCACTTTTTAAAAATATCTGATCTTATTTATTACTTAGAAAATATCATTTTTGACTGGACTCAAATTTAGAGGTAACAGCTCTCAGAGAGAAAAGCTTACATCTCCTGGCAGTTTGTTCCTGGCATTTTCCTTTGGTCTCCTTCATTTTCTTGGCCAAAGTTAGCACATTCTGCAGCCTGTTCTAATTTTTCTTAGTGTGCTGTTTCTTCAGAGCAATACACTGACTTTTGTGTTGCAGTATAGATGGAGTAACAAAACATTGAATCTTGGGAGCTTTGGCCCTAGGTTTCTTACCTTCTTTATTTGGGGCTTTCTCACAACATACCAGCAGACATCATCTTCTTTAGAGAGACTGAAAAGCTTGCAGATTCTGCTTTTTTGGGCCCCAGGTAACAAGGCACAGTAGTATCAGTGAGACCAGAAATATCTTTCTCCCCCCTTTTAAAAAAGTGACCAAGTTGAGAACACTCAGGCAGCCACAGTGCAACCCTGAACAAATTTGCACCTTCTTTCTCCAGCCCTCCTTGGTCAACAGGAATGCCTCCTGCTACTGAATGTAGCAGGAGGACACAACCATGGGTCAAGACAGCCTGCTTCATGGGGAAACCTTGTTTGTCATCCCCACCACCGATTTGAACTACATAACCCTTCCATTCTTCACCCAAAGAATCAGCAGCAACTTCTGTGGCCATATGCTTCTCATAAAATGTAGAAGTTTGCGTTCATCATCTACTTCAATGAATTTCTGGCAGCCAGTGGCTGGAAAGAAATGTTCAATTTCATCCCGACGCAGCCACAGCTTCTGAGGTACCACACACAAAAAAAGCTGCCCTTTTCTCCCTTTTAAGTATCAGCATGGATGCTGCCACCCCACCCACTCCCTTCTTTATATGCTTCTGTGTGTTTCCATTACATTTGTTTTTTAGCATAAGATTGAATATACAAATAAATCACTCTCTGAAGAACTTGTAGATAAGAAACAGATAGGAAAGACATCCAGATTGTTTTGTGTTATAACACTCTGTTTCAAACAATACTTTCTTTTTTAAAAAATTACATCCTTATGGACACCAGAGGGGTGGGGGTTTTGGGGGAGTGGGTGAAAAAAGTGAAGGGATTAAGAAGTAAGAATTGGGGGTTACAAAACAGTCACAGGGTTATAAAGTATAGCATAGGGGATATAGTTAATAATATTGTAATAACTATGTATGGTACCAAGTGGGTACTGAAAATATTGGGGGGGGGGACACTTTGTAAAGCACATGATTATCTAACCACTATGCTGTACACCTGAAACTAAAATACTAAATAATATTGAAAATTAAATTTAAAATTTAAAAATTGCATTCTTAATATACTAGAACTTTAATGAAAAAGCAAAGCTCAGATAGTGATTTATTTGTATATTCAATCTTACGCTAAAAAACAAATGTAATGGAAATACACAGAAGCATATAAAGAAGGAAGTGGGTGGGGTGGCAGCATCCATGCTGATACTTAAAAGGGAGCTTTTTTTGTGTGTGGTGCCTCGGAATGAAACTGAACATTTCTTTCCAGCCACTGGAAAAAGCCAAACTTTCCAAAATTCATAAGGAAAAGTACTTTGATTGAGAAAGAAAAGGAGGTTGATGGGCACAGTCTAAATGTGTCTACCTATTTCCTTCTTGTGGCTCCAGGATCTTTGTGTTATTTTATTGCTAGTTTTAAAATCTAAGAGTTCAAGATATTTAAGAGAAACAAAAAAAAGAGGATAGCTATTTTTTTGAGGTTGGGGCAGTAGAAAGATAAAGAGCTCAGCTTGCTGCCTCCCTAGAGTTCATACAGTGCACAAATTAGTATACTTTTGTTATTGCTATGAGGACAAAAACCAAAGAAAACAAGTTATTCATTGTAAACAGACTAATCAAGCACTTTAAAGTAGACTGAATTGTGGAATGCAGAAATGATTATGTTAGCCTGTCCTTGCAAATGGATAGCATTCCCCCTAAGGAATCACCCTCGACCTGCATGATTTAAAACATTAGTGTTACTCTGGCTGGTTTGGCTCGGCCGTTAGAGCTTTGGCCTGTGTTCCAGAGAGACCTGGGTTCGGTTCCCGCTAAGGGCACATACCTCAGTTGTAGTTTGTCCCCGGCCCTTGTTGGGTCATGTGGGTGACAACCACTGGATGTGTCCCTTTCACATTGATGTTTCTCTCTCTCTCTCTCCCCCTCCTACTCTATCTGAACAAAAAATGGAAACATGTCCTTGGGTGAGGATCCAAATAAATAAATAAATAAATAAATAAATAAATAAATAAAACATTAGTGTTGTCCGGCCAGTGTGGCTCAGAGGTTGAGTGTTGACCCCGGATCAATTCCCAGTCAGGACACATGCCCAGGTTGTGGGCCCACTCCCCAGTGGGGGGCATGCAGGAGATGGACAATCAATGTTTCTATCTTTCTCTCCCTCTCACTTCCTCTCTCTCTAAAATCAATAAAGGAACAAAAATTTTAAACAAAAAAACATTAGTGTTGCCCTGGCTGGACCAAAGAGTCATGGGTTCGATTCCGGCCAAGTGCACGTGCCTTGGTTGGGGTTTGTCCCCAACCCTGGTCGGGTCATGGGGGAGGCAGCCAGTCGCTATGTCTCTGTCACGTCAATGTTTCTCTCTCTCTCCCTTTCTCTTCCTCCCACTTTATCCAAAGATAAATAGAAAAGTATCCTCAGATGAGGATTAAAAAAAAACATTAGTGTTGGCATCCAGTGTGGCTCAGTGGTTGAGCGTCGACCCATGCACTAAGAGGTCACTGATTTGATTCAGTCAGGGCACATGCCCAGGTTTCTGGCTTGATCCCCAGTAGGGGCATGAAGGAGGCAGTTGATGGATGGTTCTCTCTCACATAGATGTTTCTATCTCTCTCTCCTCCCTTCCTCTCTCTCTAAAAATCAATTAAAAATATATTAACAAAACAAAAAACAAACACAAAACCAAACTAAAACAAACAAAAAATCTGTTAGTGTTCATTCTAAGGAAATGTCACCTTCTTCTTTTGTCATGAAAAAACTCCATGAAGCACTTTTTATAGCAGGAATTAGGCAGCATGATGGCTTAATTTTAATCTCATCCAAGGAAAGATTTAAAAAGTTTTTTTCTTTATTGATTTTAGAGCGAGAGGAAGGGAGAGAAAAAGAGAGACAGATGAGAGAGAAAATCAATAGGCTACCTCCTGCATGCCCCCACTGGGGATTGGGCCCACAGCCTGGGCATTTGCCCTGACTGGGAATTGAACGGGTGACCTCTTGGTGCATGGGTCAACACTCAACCAGTGAGCCTCACCAGCTGGGCAGATTTTTATTTCTTTTTTAATCTTGTCTTCCGCTGTGGCACCAATACAAAGTGTATACACACCCACAGGTGACAGGGCTATATGGGAGCTAAAAAATTAATATTTTTCCTCCCATCTTGTAACTTCTTCTAGCTGGATTAATAATCAAATTAACAGAGGCAGATTAACAGGAGAAAGTAAAATTTCAATGCATGTGCATGGTGAAGCAACATTGGTATATATGACATTTTGGACAAAGGAGAAAAGGGGGATGGGTGTTGACAGGTTGACCGGGTTATTAGATTTCAGAAGTGAGAATGGGTGATTCACAGGTAGTTGAGGAAGAACCAAACATTCAGGCCAGGCAAATTCCTGCTAGGCAACTCAGAAACAATGAGACACAGCAGGTATCTAGCTAATATGTCCCTTCCTGAAGGCCTCCTATTTACCACATTTAATTCAAATTAGGTAAGGCAACATCCTAAGATTCCCTTCCTGGAGTAGGTCTTTCCATTGAATCTCTTGAGCAAAAAATGGGGGAAATAAAAAGGTTCTTTCTGAGTCTTATTTTTCTTTTTCTGATGGTAGACCAATATTTATTTAATAGAATTAAAATTGTATTTCAATAATAATTTAAAATTTCAAGCCATCAAAAAGAATAATTCCAAAAAGGAAAAAACAAAGCCATAGTTTGGGAGGAGATATTTACATATATTGGACAAAAGACTCATATATTGCACATAAAGTAAATTCATAAG